GGAAGTTGAGGAAAAAACATGATTAAGAGATATATTTCTTAAAACTTACATGACAAGAGGAAATGTCTGCATCATGTGTAAATTACACCCAGGCTTAATGTTTTCCCTTTTATAACCTAAAGACAAACTAACTAGACAAGTATAGAGGTTTAATAATAAGATTAGGCACATTACATTCCGACAGCAAGTATGGACAAGTGCTCAGTACCTGGGAACTTTTTTAATCCCTGAAGGCAGAAAACACTAAARCAGTTTAAGATTATGTGAATAATGTGTATTTAGGCATCTGGTTTTCCTCTTGCATTTGAGTTTATATGACATAAGGTTACAAATGACTGTCAACCAACACTTGAGGTATCTGTGTGCGTGGCTTTGACCTCACGTTACCTCCTTCAGCTGGTCCAGCTCCTGTCGAACCGCCTCGTATTCCGTCTCCAACTCATCAAATCTCTGCTTGAGCTGCTGCTTCTCCTCCAGCACCGCCAGCCCGTACTCCGCCGCCTGGATCTTTTCGTGGGTCGTTTCTCGGAGCTCTACGGCCAGACGCTCCACTTCGGCTCGGAGCCACTGCGGCCCAGCTTCTGACACCAGCACCGCCTCGGGATATTCCTGCTCCTCCATTAGAAAACCCTTGGCGAGCCGCCGAGTCCAGCGGTAACGGGACCCAGCCCCGACTTGTCTGTCTGGCTAATACTAGCACAGGAGGAGTGTAAGAAAAAAAAAAAAAGAAGAAGAAGAAGCTTACAAATCAGTGCTGTCTTTGTTTGAAACGCATTGTCACAGTCTGCAAGGCGTTCGCAGCTCCTTGTGCCTTTTTCCCGCCACAGACATCGACAAAACGTTCAGACTAAAAATACTTTTATCATCCTCGACTACTTTCCTGAGTGTCTTCATGAGGCTGGCAGAGGAAACTTCAGTTGAGATCATCGATTGGAAAAAGCTCTCTCCTTATGGTATTCAAATCTATATAACTGCGAAGGGAATTGTAGTTTTATGCGAGACGCTTTTGTCGCAAAGCTTARAGAGTGCATCTGCTTTAATGACTTCAACTACCACAATGCTTAGCGCGACAGTGTCAAGATGCGGCATTTGGTTGGAAAAAATGGTGCAATGCCTCCATCTAGTGGTCAGATAGCAAAACTACAACAAAACAACTTTATTCAAAACATAGGTCGAGGTTTATTTTTTTTAATTGTACTGTCAAAAATTAACTTGATAAAAGGTATTAAGTAATTGGCCAATGCAGCCCACGTTGCATCAACTAGTATATTAGTTATACAGAAATAAAATGTGCATTTATGTAAAAAATATTAATTACATCTAAGTATTACTATATTTATGCATGCAGTTTTACTTTACTCAGCGAGATCAATCAAATATTTTGGTTTTATATCATCGTCTTAGGTAATTTGAGTGTATGGAAGTCCATTTCCACAATTCTTATTAGAAAAATCCTGAAGTCATACTTCTAATTTTTCTTTTGAAATWATACCTACTTGGAGTCAGTAAAAGGAGACAAGCAGATGAATGTGTTTGCATGTTTTTTAGCTAAAATGACTGAAGACTTCTGAGTGAGTGCGATAAAACTGAAGCAAAAGTATGACCCAGGCACCCAGACCTCAGGCACACAGTTTAATGTCTGAACCGAGACTTTTCATACTTTTCTTAACTGCTTTTAAGCTGTAAAATTATAGTATTGTAATACAAACAGTGAAATAAATGTGAAAGTAAAACAATCTTATCAGGGACTTTCCTTCTGTGACACTTGGCAGAGTGGTTGGACCAGCTTTGGGAAGGCTGTCATCAATGCTGTTGCTGCTGCACCAGCTGGAGGTGAACTCAAATGGTATGTACACCTGTTTTATAATTACAGCCTTGCATTTGTGTCAGTGTTAATTCTCTTCATAACTCTGTTTTGATGTCATGTGATATACTTGATTCTTGGAGCCCTCTCTGATTTTCTTCCTGCTTTTTGTTTATAATAAACATTGTCTTACTTCTTTAGGGAAATGAAAGAAGTCTTCTTCATGACTTCTTTCAGCACTGTATGTAACTTTTAACATTCCTTTGTTTGAAGTGGTGGCAAGATATTTAATTTGTTTATTATTATTTTTTTTCCATTTTAAAATTACTCATTTAAACTGTCTTTTTTCCTGGGCATTTTCAGATAAATATTATCATTTTTATTCAATCTGCTTTGGTCTGGGATGTGGCATGGCTCTCTATAGACCATTTTACTGTAAGTATATATCCTGCACACAGTTAGGTACAGTACTGTTTCAGTAATGTTCATTTCTTCTGTTTTGTTAGGACGAAATGTTAACTTTTCAGATGTGATTTCTTTACAGCGCTCTCCCTTCCTTTAGTCCTCGGTGTGTTTTTTACTGTAGCGTTTGAGATTCTGGGTGTAACTTTGGGTAAGATGACCATTTTTAACTTTCAATACTTTGTCTTCCTCCTCCTCCTTTATTTGGTTTAAAACACTGTTCTTCATGTTGGTTCATACAGTTTCATTTTAGAAGCTCTGAGACTATCATGTGTCCTTTCAGATCTTCCAGCCCAAACTACAAGATGTAAAGGCCCTCCTTATGACAAAAGAGGTACAGATCCTCAATGTTGTGTGTAGTTGATTCCATTAATTTTATTTCTTTGATTGGAAATAACTTCTAATATTTAATGGTGCATAAATGTTGCACTGAAGTTCAGTAATTTATCATAGCTATGCCTTAAATGAAGCAACAATAGTATTTCTGGCATTAAAAAAAGCCTCATCTTTACCTTTCACCTCTCTTCAGATGCATACTGGGGATTTTGTTTTGCACTTTTTGTTGCCGTCTTGCACCTTGGATCATATCACGGTGAGTACTACAAACCAACACCACATAAAAAATATAAAGTACCTTGAGGGAGTTGTGTTTTTAGTGTTTTTCCCTGTTCTCTCTTTCAGTCTACACACTGTCCTATGGATGTGGAATTATCGTGTTCGCCCTAAGAGGAGCGAAACGAAAATACAGCTATCTGTGGTAAGTATCTGAAAAGCTGAATTTAATTTACTGATCATTCTGATGGATTGGAAGACATTAAAGTTTATCACGGGTTAGCCTTGGCATCTTTTCATCTGTTATTAAAGTCAAATAACAGAATCTGTCTTTCCTGAACAGGAAGCTGAGAGAGAAACAAAGCGCCTGGAGATAAAATGAGTTTACAGCCACCGACTGTAATAATAAATTTAGGTTTAGATGTAAAGACCAAAGAGCAAATTTGTGTTTGGTATGATTACAAGTCAGATATGTTATGAAGTCATCTGTCATCTAATTATGCTATTTTTAGCACTTTATTGTTATTTTTGCTGTTCCTACAACCAAGAAATATGAAAGCAAGAAAAGAAAATGAATAAATCAAGGGATTACTGTTATTGCTGCTAATTTTCTAGTTGGAATTTTTTTTATAAGGTCAGGGATGTGAATGTATGTATAGAGAAATAAATAATTTGATACAAATAAGAATGACATGCATTTTACTTTATGAATAATGTATTTAATGTATATATGTACTTTGGCTGCACCAGATGTAGTTAGTCAGAATTCTATGTAAATACCTTGTACTGCAAAATTAACTTAAAAGTTACTGTTTGCATGAACCACAGGACGTTTTGAGACTGCAGTTATTTTATGACAGCAGCAATCTTTGTTCTTCGCTCTAAGTAGCAAAGTTAGACTTCAACTGTATCTGTCTACCACAGGTTAGATATTAATTATTCATACTCTTTCTATAGAAACTCAATTCAAAACACTAAAAAACTGTTGTTTTAAAAAAGACATCACCACAAGTTTTCAAAGTCAAATGCAGAGGACTTTATTACCTGAAAGTATGGGGCATACAAAATTTCAAGTAACAAAGATGGTGTTTGTTCTCCTGTTCACAAGTCAGACGCATCGAGTAATCAATCTACTTTTGAGTCATATTTTCAGTCAGCACTGGGTGGACCTGTAGCCCTGAGATGTGTTTGTTTAGGATAACTCAAAACTCAGTAACAAATCAGAGCTGGAAAAAAAAAAGAAAATCACAGCTGAACTCATAAAAACAGAAATTTGACGATGTGACGTATGGTTTTGTGTGTCTACTCTTTATGACCTCGCTACATTTGTTTGATTTTTATTTTTGCACTACCTTCTACGAACAACAATCAATCTTGCTTCGCTCTGACACTGTTGCCACATTAAACACTGATACTTTAAAGCTGGGCCCCACCCCCAGCATCAGGAGCTGCAAACACGTAAGCAGAACACATGTTGAAGACCACACAAAGGATTGTTTCATACTGGGATCAACCATCGTTGACAATGTCAGCTAAGGGCAGTATTTATTTTCTGGACTAGATTAGTGACAATGTAGAGAGGAAGGCAAGGAAACGTTTGTTACAGAGAATGTGTGTGTTTGTGCGGGATGTGTGTGACGAAAGCACAAAGGTAAGTGGAAGTCTACGTCAAGGTGAACTGCACAACTCACAACACTTCGGTACACTTTTTRGGAGGGTGTTCACGGTGAAAGACTTTTAAAGAGCAAAAAGGTGTTATGATTCCAAAACGTTGGTGACTGCTTCTCGTCATCTGCAGGAGGGTCATGAGAGGGGTGGGCGGGGCTCAGAGAGAGTTACTTGGCATTAGCGGCGCTGCTGAGCATCTTCCGAATGGCCTGGGTGATCGCATCGCGGTCGATGCCGTAGACCTTCAGGAGCTCGTGAGGTTTGCCGCTCCGGGGAATGTGGGACACGGCCAGGCGGTGCAAACTGAATCCGGACTCGTTCACCACTGCTGAAGACACTGCTTCCCCAAGACCACCTGTGGATTTTATTCAATTATAGACTACGATTTAAAACGATTAAAATAAATAAAACATCTGGTCTAGACAATATTCTTRGTCCAGTCTTGCTTACGCTGTCTCCATTTTGTTTCTCCTATGTGGCGCAGGGCAAGTCTGAGTGTGCTATCTAGGTCACAGTCAGCCCCATGGGCACATGTTCATTTAAAGAAATCTGACAGCACTCTGCCTCTCTGGCTCCCACATTTACAAAACGCACTGCCGCACCTTGCCTCCAATTGAAGGCACGCTACAAAGCAGCTTGGCCTCAGCCAATGAGCAAACYCCAACACAGCGCATCTACGACAGTCAGCCCATGGAAACCACAACCCGCCCAGTGACATGAACCAATAGCAGAGTCCTAACCAGCAAGACGTGTCAAGACTGGTCGGTTAGCCTTGGTTATTAAATATGCAAAAGCCGAGCAGCAACGTTTTTGGAAACCTACCTTCGTAGTAGTGGTCTTCAACAGTGAGGATTCTTCCCCGGGTGGCGCGTGCATGGTCGATGARGGTTTTTATGTCCAGAGGTTTGATGGTGAAGGGATCGATTACTCTCACAGACATCCTCTCTGGAAGGCAAGTTCAGTGGAGCAAAACATTACAAACAAACTTTACCACCGTATTCGTCTTTTTCCAAATAAGCACGGATTTTTCTAAGTACAAAGTTCTCAAAAATGCCAGAACTGGTGATTGATATCATTCATGAGACTTGATCTGCAACAATTGGAGTACAGACGCACATATGCTTTAGTTTGACCAGTTATGCAAGCAAAAGTAATGAGACGAATAAAATGGATTCTAGTTAAACGTTTAAATGGTTGGGATGTGCCATCCCAACCATTTAAACTTTTTGTCTGCAGGATATGCGATACATGAACAGTGAAACTCTACAGGCCTGTACCTTTCTTTAGATGCTCAGCAGCAGCAAGCGCCTCATGCACCATCACTCCAGCTGCAACCACAGTCACCTGATCCTCCTTGCTTTGAAACACCACCTGACCACAGCAGAGTTATCCTCGGTTTGTTGTGTTTCGTGTGCCTATTTGGTTTAGCCATTCAATCAGAAAGCATGAACAACCTCCTTACCTTTGCCTGTCCAACGTGGAAGTCTTCGTTGCTGCTGTAAACGATGGGGTTGTCTTGGCGGCTGGTTCGAATGTAACAAACACCCTTAATAAATGGAGAAATCGACGAGAAGGTTGACACAACTTAACGATGTTTTACACCAGTGCATAAACTCAGGAGTTGCATTTTTAGTACCTTTGTGGTTGCAGCCAGTTCCACGGCCTTTTCTGTGGACACGCCATCACTGGGATAGAAAATGGTCGCGGTGGGAAGGGCTCGAAACATGGCCATGTCCTCGAGGCTCATCAGAGAGGGGCCTTCTTCTCCTGTAGGGTCAGCAAGTTTTATTTGTTGTCATTATATTAGGATCTTTCTCAGAGGTAATTGCGTGGCTGGGTGGGCTGATGCATGCAGGAGCATAAAGGGCCAGACTGGATGCAGGCTACCTGGACTAACAAAGGGACACCTGGTTCCCTGCTGACAGCTTCCAGGGCAGACAGAAAAGGAGAAGAAGGGGAGGACTGAGTCAAGGCTGAAAGGCCAGTGGGTGCAAACATGGGAAACACAGCATTAGAARGAAAAAGAACACTCACAACAAAGCATTTTCTATTTATTTTAATTTGGGTTACTGTGACGTGAGTGAGGAAAGGTGATAGGAGGGTGAAGGGTCAAAGAGGTGAACGTTTTTGAGGGCATTTGATGGGAGAGGTGAGAAGGCTTGTGCCGGCTGTCGCTCATCAGCAGCAGCAGTTTACTAACCAGTGGACAGACCGCAGTGGGAGCCACACAGGTTAATGTTGCCCTCTGAAATGGCCGCCATGCGAATCTGGTCATATGCACGAGTAAAAAAGGAAGCGAGTGTACTGGCGAACACAACGTTCCTGTCTCGGGCAGCACATCCCATGGCAACACTGACCTGGGAAAGGAAATGATTGGTTCTTAGTGCCTTTATGACAGAAGGTATAATATTCCTGAGCAAAGAGAGATGGATAGAAACCACACAAACCTAACATTCCCTAGAGGGTCAAATATCGTAAGCAAAACCCTCAAATCTCACAACCAAAGCTAGGAGTGAGTGAGAGGAGTTTTCTTACAAATCTCTGCAGCTTATTTGACCAAATGCACAGATTTAGAGGCATACTTCCTCCCACATATAATTTCCTTTCCAGAATACTTTCCCAGAATACTTTCCCAAGTTTCAT